GTCCAGCTTCTGCAGCAGGAGCAGCAGAACAGGTGTGTGGCCCTCACGTCTACTCTCGTAACATAACAGTAGCTGTGTGGTACATCAGCGTTTGCTTAGCTGCTTAAATCCGTGTTGTTCATGTAACATCTTTCTGCAGTTAGCCTAACAGCGATTTCTCCCTGCAAGCCTATAATACCAACAGCATTACTAAATCCGCTTAAAGTCCTCATTAATCTATTCCTTTCTAACAATTTTCTGTATAGGAAAGCGTTACAAAGTAGGCTTACATCATGAGCTTTTAAAAGAACCACAGTTGTTTTAAAAACTTTCCAAAGTCGTTGAGCGTGACTTTTATAACAAAGCAGCATTACTGCCTAAGCTTCATCAGTTTGATGCCAGCGTTTTGCAAAGTAGTCATAAAAAATGTGCCGTGACTAATACATGCCCCGCTGTATAGAAATTTTAAGTAATAGTCCTGTAAGTGGTTTGACAGAGCAAACAGACAGGCATCGAAGTCTACATTTCCAGTGAACTGGACAGTTTGGTTTACTCATTGAACAAATCCACTGCGTCAGCATTCCTGCCCAATCTTTTACGCCACATCTCTACCTACTGCACTTTACCGCTTTTGTCTTTGCAAGTCGGACCCATATCAGCTTTACCTGACTTTTTCTTCTCCACTTTTGCCATTTCCTGATCTTCTCCTGTTCCCCCGACTTGCCTACTGCTTGTTTGTGTGGCTTCTTAGACGACGGTCCTTAATTTGCAGAGCCGAAAGTCTAATTCACAGGAGGAGAGTGACCGGCCGGGCACACAGGTAGAGCGATTTTTTTTTTGTCATGGTTTACAGTTTGCTTTTTCAAATTCATTTCATACATACAGGCGTCTTACGAGAATAAAGTAGCAGCTATTTTTGATTCTTTGCACTCACTTCCTGTGACTCAGTGTTTGGTGACTCAGTGTACTGAGGTTTTGGGGTTTTTTTGTGACATGGTCAAAAAATATTTCATGCACTGCATGTGCAATGTAATCTCAGCCTGTTTGAACAGTTCTTGTGTTCGTCTGTTTGCCGTATGTGTGCGTCTGCAGATTCCTCAGTCACTCTGGAAGCTCCGGCAGCAAACCGAGACTCACACCTCAGACCGCTCGCAGGTGAGTTCTGTGCTAGTGCGTCTTCAGCTTCCAAAGAAAACTAGAGAGATGTAACTTTTGTAGATAAAATAACTCACGTTTGCTAAGAAAGCACATTAATACCCACCCCTGCACCTGTCAGTTTGTGTTGATTCTTAAATCCTCTCTGCTTGTTTTTAAAGTACTTCATGGTGTCACTCCAGTATGTTTCACATGCTTACAAGCGTGCGAAGCAGTGTGCCCTCTCGTTCCTTGTGTGCCAATCTGCCATTTGGGGAGGAAACCTTTAGCTTTTATGGACTGCTGATGGAATTTTCTGCTGGTGTCCCTGAGAGAATCTGAAAGCGCTAAAATCTTTCAATCTAAACCCACCTCCTTTTTCTGGCATTATCATTCAAAGACTTATTGTGACCTTACTTTTAATTTTTTTTTTTTATGTATTTTTAAAAATTCATTATTTATTCCAGTTTTGGATTGCTCCCAGGGTTACCTGCTTTACTCCTGCGCTACTGATTTCTTTAAAATTTTAATTATTTAGCTTATTTTAAAATTGTGTGTTGTTGCATTTAAATCTTTATGACTTCTTGTCTTATCTGGCAGCTTAAGCGATAGAGTCCTCAGTCTGGGCAGCGTCCACCAGAATCACTACTCCTCACTAATGGGGAGCACTAATCACTAATCAACAGTGTTGCTTAGGATTTAGTGAAACTTGCACACAAAGATCACCTCACGGGTCTTCACCCAAGCTGTACTCAGTCAGACCGTGCCACTTTATGGGCAGCTGCTTCTCACATTTTTCAAGCTGAACTCAACATGTCCGGGGCCAGTAAACTGCTGCAGACGTGATTTACTAGCTTCCAAAGTGTTGTTCAAGTTAATCACAGGGCAGCTCGGTGGTGTTCTCCAGTAACACTTAGCTGTGAGATATACAGGAGTCTTGCACACAGATTTGTTTGTGAGTAACACAGAGCAGCCAGATTTGTTCTAGAACGCATCAACTTTTCCAAAACGTGACTGGCGGTGTGAGTCATGCACAGTTTGTCTCCCTGTCTCCAAATATTTGTTGACCCTAATCTCTTTTGTTAGTTGCATGTAACATAACTTCATGGTATTTGAATGTCAAACAAAAGCTTGTGATGTTATTGTGTTGTTATATCAGTGCCTCTTTAGATGAAGGAAGCAGTGGAGCGTCAGTGCTGAGTGGACAGGTACCAACTTACTTTCTTTAAAGCAAACATACCGTGTTTCATTCACGCCCGGTTTTCCAGGCTTGTGTTTTTTTTCTTGATTGTGCCTCCCATTCTTCTCTGTAAGATGCGCAGAGTTTTATAGAGATTTTCTTTAGATTAATTTTAACTGCTTGTGTTTACAGCCCTCTTCCTCCTGCTCCTTTGATGGCTGTCTGAAGACAGATCAGTGTGATTCAGAGCCAAAGTGGCCTGAGATCCCACCTGTCCTCAATCAGAATGAAGACCGCAGGCGGAACAAGTATCTACGAAAAGATTATCTGAAGGTTGTGCAAATTCCCAGATTCTCACTGCATATTCAGTAATGTCTTTGAAACACATTCTGGATTTGGATGTGTAGAATTTACAGACAAGAGACGAAATTTCTGCCACCAAAAGTTCTCTTGCATGTGGTCTGCTTGTACTCTGTGCTTGCACTTGTACAAAATTCGTCATGTTTCTTTAGGCTTTGGATGAATGCAGGTGATAAACAGTCCCCGTGAAGAACAAAATGTAGTGTCTACATGACCAAAACAAAAAATGCATGCATTCACACACGTATTCATAAACAACTACCAACAGACCAAAACATAATCTTGGCTTGGATTTCTGGAGACTGCTGGAAAGAAAAAACAATGTCTGTCGTTCCCAGATGCTGAGCGAGCAGATGGGCCAGGGACTTTCTAGATTGCATCTACTTGCAGTAGGGCTGTTCAATATAACGATATATATCGGATGACGATATAAAAACGTCTATGTTTCTTTTTACGCTATCGTTTGTTTCGTGGTGTCGCAAAATAAACTGTTTACGGCAAAAAAAATTTCATCGTTTTGATGGTCACTGTAGTGGCTATAATAATTTCTTAAAGTTCTCTCTTTCTCTTATATGTAATATAACCACACTACGGACAGACAAGCATTTGTTTTTATGCGTTGTCGTTAGCAACAGCGACGGTAACAGCATCGCGTGCCCGCTTGTTTATGTTCCACATAAACCTTTCACAATAAAGCTCAAGATCCTGTTGAGACTTTTCAAAATAAACTGAATCACGTGAAAGACCAGATTTTTTACGGATGAGAATTTAAAAAGAGCCGCCAGGTGCTAAAAAATGAACCTTAGACTCAAACGTTAGAACAGGCTTTTCCCCGCAGCACGCCGTGTAATAAATACTCACAATGAAACAGGCGGCTGTTACAACTTATGTCTAAAAATGTAGTTTCATGCATCGGTTAAAACACTCAACTCCAGCTACATGACGCGCAGCTGGAAACACTTCCCGCAAGTCGAGCTGCCCGAGATTCACAGAATTTACAGAAAATGTTACATTTTTGTGATTTATATCGTTATCGGACGATAGAATTCTTATATCGTTATATGAGATTTTGGTCATATGGCACAGCCCTAACTTGCAGAATACATTGTGCTATCAGACAGAATTGCATGCTCTATCTGATTTTCTGTGATAGCCATCTCCAAATGTACAATAATGCATGACTTTATCAGAATGATTAGAGTCGCACTGATTGTGAACACAGAAGTCAAAGGCTTCTATTTTGAGTGAAAATTATTTTAAGAGAAGAAAAGTTTAATTTGAGCTAACAAAATCCATTGCTGCCTGCAAGAAATGTATTTCAGTGTTTGCTATTATCCATATGCACACACAATAAAAGCCCCTCTCACTCAGTTGTTGGGATTTGTTCTTGCTCAGATCTCTACTCTGTCTGCTAACAGACATCTGCGGACCTGCTCTCAACATTTCTGCACCCTGCGCGCTCACCTCTTTCTGTACACCCTTATAAGCAGGGGTGCACATAGGTGGTCTGCAGGTGCGCATTCGCTGTCAAAATAAAAGAGGCGCACCAGATAAGAAGTTGCATTGTTTGCGTACACAAGATTTTCTGGAGGAGGACAGGCATTTGTTTAGAACTCTTAAAGATGTCGAAGAAGCAAGCTCCTTTAAGCAATTACTTTGGTGTTCCTCCACCTCTAAAGAAATGTCAGGAGTCCAAACCGCAAAAGAAGCTCGTATTCTCGGAAAAGTGGTTGCAGGAGGTGAGCTGGCTTCAAACAAATGATGAACGCACAGAGATGTGGTGCAGAATATGCCGTGAAAATCCCACTCTAGCGGACAAAAACACTGCCTTTTATATGTATGCAAATGCGCGTTGCAACTTCTTATCTGGTGCGTGTCTTTTATTTTGACAGCGAATGTGCACCTGCGGACCACTTATGTGCACCCCTGCTTATAAGTGTGCCACAAAACCAACCAATCACAGACTTGGATGCAAAAAATTCACATGGCTGTTTTGGTCACCAATAGCTCGCTAGCTACTGCATTCCGGAAACACTGTCCAGAATGTAGCTAAATCCAGTGGAGTGGTTTGGTTTAAACTAGATTAAAACCATAATGGTCTTGAAAAATAATATATTTTAAAATAAAATAATTAAACATAGTAACCGAAAATGGGTTTAGCTACATTCTGGACCGTGTTTCCGGAATGCAGTAGCTAGCGAGCTGATTGGAGACCCTAACAGCCAATCAGTATTTTTGCATCAAAGTCCGTGATTGGTTGGTTTTGTGGCACACTTATAAGGGTGTACAGAAAGAGGTGAGCGCGCAGGGTGCAGAAATGTTGAGAACAGGTCCACAGGTGTCTGTCAGCAGACAGAGTAGAGATCTGAGCAAGAACAAATCCCAACAACTGAGCGAGAGGGGCTGTTATTGTGTGTGCATATGGATAATAGCAAACACTGAAATACATTTCTTGTATGCAGCAATGGATTTTGTTGGCTTAAATTAAACTTTTCTTCACTTAAAATAATTTTCTCCCCAAAATGCAACATTTGCACTTGCAATTTTAATTTTTTTTTTGCGTGCATTTAGAATAGAGGGACAAAAATAACGGCATAGTAGTGCAGGTCATCTACTAATGGCCATGTTGGCGGTTTGATCCTTGGCTTTTCCAGCCTTCAGTCTGCATAGCACAGTATCTACGGGCAAGATACTCGCCCCATTATTTTTGTGCGATTTAGAGGCACACTAGCCACTTAATGTATAAACATGTGCCGATCACTCTTTTAATAAGCGTGTCACTGTTTAGATAAATGAATAACAAACATGTAGCACCAGGTTTGCTTCCATAAATAGAACAGGAGATGAACAATTAGCATGAAACAAAGATCTAATTATCTCTTTTGTTGACAGTACAAATGTCAGAGTGCTCGCAAAAACTCGAGTGGCAACGCTGACTCTGAGGTGGGTATGAAAATGTTATCTTAAAAGATCGTGTAAGTGTTAATGCTGTGTCCCATTCTGAATTGGATGTGAATGTTTTATCCTCAGGAGGGTTTGCGCAACACTGATTTCAGCACTACCCTGACAGTGTTTGGACTTAAGCCAAGATCAGGTAACACATATGTCCTTGTTCTTTAAATGACACTGTCTGAATCGTTTGGCTCAGTGCTTTTCCTTTTCACTGGAATGATTGTCTCGGGGTTTTCTTGGGCATAAAAATAGTAACAAAAATAAAGTCAGTCAGACGGTTAGAACCCATCCTTCCCGTCGATTTGAAAAGATAATAAAAAACAAACTGCTGAAATGATATAAGTACGTTACATTTTACATGTTGTGTGGATATGAAAAAAGATCTCTCTCACATGTTCCAATTTCATTGAGCAAAAAACAAAACAATAGTGTTTACTTACTAAAAAAACCCTTCTAAAGACATCATAGGTAAAATAAGCAACTCTGTCTAAAGGATGTGTTACCGCAGAAAACTGACAATGTTAAGAATGCCTTGTTTTCACACTGAGTCACTTTTTTTTAAGGTGGAGTCTCATCATTCTTTCACAAGAATTAGGGAGGGGTTTCTAAAGAACTGCTGGTCTGCATCCCCATAACCAGCTTTTGGATACAGTCATGAAATCTTCCTGGATGTACAAATGAAACTTGTTTGACGTTGACAGGAGGATAATAAATCGTGAATTAACCTACTGAAAAAAAACAAAAGCAAAAAAAACAAACAAACAGTGTCGGGGGAAAAATCACGTCTGCCAGTTTTCAATAAGGATTAATGTGACAACCTCCTGACTGCATGTTCTCTCTGACTATAAATCTCAAAGAGCTAATCCTTGCCTTGCGTAGACTGCAGTGCCAGCTGAGCGTTTTGTAATGCATGTCCACAATCTGTTCGCAATTTTTGTAATCTTGCATCTGTACACTGGCGATTTTAAGTCACACGATCAAGATGTGATTGAAGTGCAGACTTTCATCTTTAATTCAACTGGCTTAACAAGTCTTTCTTTTTAAGAACGACCTTTTGTTTGTCTCCTTCAGTTGCATCAGTGTCTCTTTGGGCCTCATATTGAAGAAGAAGTTTTATTATTATCCAGTGCACAGCAAAAATAATCGCAGCGGTTTACACTGATCAGTAAAATTAAGAAAGTTATTGGAATTCTAATAAAAAATAAAGAGCCTAAATTTTTACAAAATAAAGTGCATCGAAGGAATACTTTAGAAGTGACCATGAAAGCCCAAGTTGTACTAATGCCTTGTGCAAAGGTCTTTAAAAAATTTAAAAGGCTTAAAGGTTATGGCTAAGCTGCTCACAACTGTTTTGGACAAAAGTCTCCAATGAGCTTTGATGCACAGTGCTGAAGCAGAATGCTTTGCTGGTGTTGCTTGACCTCTGACCGTCACATTTTACTTGAATGAGATACTCAGTGTGTGTCTCAGGTTCTGCCTTGGGGCGGTTTCTGCCTCGTATCTGTCTGATCTTTTCCTTTCTTTTCGGCTGCTTTTAACTTCAGGTCGTCTTCGACTTTTCTTGATTATGGTGTACTACAAGGTTCTGTCTTGGAGGCTTTACTGTTGCTGTACCTCCTGCGTCTTTAGCACATTTTGACAACGTTCAAAGACGTTATTTATCTCTTTTAAGCCCCAGGATGTTTCTGAGCGACAGATCTTGCATAGTTGCTTAGACTCTGTTAAAGGTTGGTCGGCTGACAGTTCTTCTCAAATTGAAGAGGAGAAAACGACTTTTCGTATGTGACCCTGAGAGATTTTTACCTAAGATAATTGAAACTCTTGGTCGCTTGCCACATTTGCTAAGTGTTAACTTTTGATGTTTGCTCTTCCCTAAATCACTTAATTATTACCAGGTTGAGTCCTACTGTGTCACGCTGTGAAATGGAAGTTCTTATTCATGCCTTGATTTTAATCAGGTCTGGATTATTAGAATTTGTTGCTGGATTATTAACACGGCTTCTGTGAGGCTGGGAATGAAAGGAGACAGTGCTTTTGCAACAGTGGCCCCAAGACAAAACTCTTCTATTGTTTTATTTACATAATTTGTCATGGTGTAGCGAGGGAAGAGGCCTCTTTTGGCAATGAACAGACTATCGTCCAGTCCATTTTGAGCTTCTGAAAACTGGAATATGTCATAATATCAAATATCTCTACTTCCTAAATAGTTGATGTAACATTTTTGATAAAGCTGAAAGTCTGCACTTTAGTCACATGTTGGCTGTTTCATTTAAAATCATTTCATTTAAAATATGCAGGCATTTTGGGTAGTTTAATCCATAAAGTGTTATACTTTTTTTTAGCCTATATATGGTTTGCAAATTAACTACTAACAAAATACAAACTTTAACACCGATCAGAGTATCATGAAAAAGTATTTTGACATATTTGTCACAGTTAAATGTTTTAGAGCAGCGGTCTCCAACCTTTTTTGCGCCACGGACCGGTTTATGCCCGACAATATTTTCATGGACCGGCCTTTAAGGTGTCGCGGATAAATACAACAAAATAAAACTAGTACCGGTACCGAAAAAAAGGAAATTTATTCATAACACACGTGAAAAGACCCAGGAAAACAGAGTTAACGATAAAAACGATAACAAAATAACGCTGAAAACTTCACCACTGTTCCAAGTTTTCTCCACTGAAATTAGCTTTGTAAAAAATTTGAGCAGTCGCAGTAAATTCATGATTTAACAAGGGCGTCAGGTAGCTTTGGATAGCTTTGTTTTCATTAATTTACAAAATCATATAAAAACTGCATTTTGTATTTAAATGCAAAAAATTCTGTCTGCCTTATTTGGAGTGTTTTTTTAATTTTCTTTTAAATTTACCTGTTATATGTTACCTGGCATACGGTGATATTCTTTGAATTGGCTCCGATTTTTATAAAAGCTCTCTTATAAGTCTAAGGAGGTTGGAAAGAAAGCGACTGGACGTCTTTAAGTTTCTTGAAGACGTTTCACCTCTCGCCTTGCTTTCTTCCCACGCTCCTTAGACTACAACAACAACATCTTGGATGACTGAGAACCTGTAGAGACTCTTTGATAAAAGTAAAGAAGACCTTCACTGACTAGGAAATGAAACTAAATCAGCCAGACTGTGTCTCGTAAACCCAAAGGAATGGGATAACTTGAAATAAAGGAAGACATGCACAAGCACACTGTACGCTTCCTACTGTAAATACAGATTTAGATTGTATCACAGCCACACCTAATTCCAGGTAACACACAGCACAGATTGGTTCCTTGGACATTGTTGGGATTTGGTCTTATACAGTAAGAGCTCATATTATTTGATAGACTTTCACATTAACTCTGCATTTCTATTGTCAGACTGAAAACGAGCAGGTGGCCTGAAATTGAACTGAGCGACTGTGATGTACTAAATACTTTTTTTTTTCTGTTCTTCTTATTTCCTTTGTGTGTTCTTTGGATTGTTACCCCCATCTGTAATTTTAGCCTTCACCAGAGGCAGCCATCAGGAGATCAGCTCTACAGACCCGAGCTTCACGATGAGAAGGAAGATGGAGCACTTGAGAGAGGAAATGGAGCAGATAGGACTGTTACGACAGGTCAGATGCCTTGCAGCTTATTTATGCCGTTGCGTTTGTACGAGTCATGGAGTCATACAGAGGCCAAAGCTCAATAGATCCTGCTTTTGTTTCAGTGTTTACGCCTTCGAGCTAGACAATTGCTTCTTATCCAGCCTTCCTGCTTAGGAATACAGATTCATCATGACTTCACTTGGTTTCCAAGGAATTAAGAAACACGCTGAGTCTAAATTGACTCATCTATTTATGCTGGGGCTATAGCGACGGAGGGATGGGTGTGGAGGGCTGAAACACTTTTGTTTTTGCTTATAAAAATAATTTAGGAATCAGGGTGGGCTGGGCATGCCTAGCTGGACCTACAACCTAGTAATTGCAACATAGTTGGGAGGATGTGTGAAATTTAAATAAAAACAGAATGCAGTGATTTGCAAAACTCATAAATCCATATTTTATTCACAACAGAACACAGAAAACGACAGTTAAACAATGTTTAAACTGCGACACGGCATCATTTTAAGAAGAAAAAATGGTCATTTTGAATTAAATGGGAGCAACACATGTCAACAAAGTTGGGACAGAGCCATGTTTGTCATTGTGCAGCATCCGCTCTTCTTTTTTTTAACAGCAGGACTTTTGGGAGGGGAATGTTTTCCTGTTCTTATCTAATAGTGGACTCAAGATGCTCAACAGTCCTGGGTCATCAAATGCTGGACTCCAGGCAGGCCAACTCAGCACCCAGACTGTAGTAGATGCAGTATGTGATTTGGCACTGTCTTGTTGAAATATGCGAGTTAAAAACAAAGAAAAATATGTTATCTGGAAGTGAGCGTATGTTGCTCTGAAGCCTGTATATCTTTCAGCACTGATGGTGCCTTTCCAAAAGTGTAAGCTGTCATCAGAGATGGAGGTTTTCTTAACTGAACACTAATAAAATCCCACATCATCCCTCTCCTGTTTCATCCACAAAATGTGGCATCCATGTTTTCCGAAAAGAATTTCTAATGTTGATTTGTGCGACCACGGAACATTTACTCCACTTTGCCTCAACCAATGCATAATAGAGCTTTAACCTGCTTTTGTGGATGTGGCATGGCAAACTGTGTTCACAGATGTTAATTTTAGAAAGCATTCGTGAGCCCCTTCAGTGATTTCCATGAGAGAATCATGCCTGTTTTAAATGGAGTGCCACCAGAGGGCATGTAGATCAACAACATCCAGTACAGACTTTTGGCCTGCGCAAAAAAATGTCTCCAGATTCTCTAAATCAGGGGTCCCCAACTCCAGGCCTCGAGGGCTGATGTCCTGCAGTTTTTAGATGTGTCCTTGATCCAACACAGCTGATTCAAATGGCTAAATTACCTCCTCAACATGTCTTGCAGTTTTCCAGAGGCCTGGTAATGAACTAATCATGTGATTCAGGTGTGTTAACCCAGGGTGAGATCTAAAACCTGCAGGACACCGGCCTGGAGTTGGGGACCCCTGCTCTAAATCTTCAATAAAGAATATCTTTCATAAAATAGTAAAGGGCCTCAATTTAAATGTTTGATATTTTTCTTCCATTGTGAACAAAATACAGGTTTATGAGATCTGCAAATCATTGCATTATCTTTTGATTTACGTTTTATACAGTGTCTCCAATTTTTCCGAACTGGCTTTGTAAGTACACTCTTACTGTTCCCACAGGAATTAAGAAGGTGTGCAGCTGGGTTCTGCTAACCAAATGCACTTGATTAATTCATCATCACCAAATGTGAGCACCTCAATGAAAGTCAACGTTTTGGCATTCTTCTCGCCTGGAGTATTCGGGCATTCTAACACATGATGGGACAAGGTCCCAAAGTCACACTGAGCAATGATCAGAGATTCTGCACAAACCCCAAGAGGTACAACTCAGATGTAGCTCAGAGAATCCTTGCAGCTAACGAGGCATTCAATGCCAAGCTGTGGCATGTGTTTGCCTATTTACTTTTGCCATTTTCAAGCAGCCCTGCAAGAAAGGGACAAAGAAAGTATCAGGGGAAAGCGAATGATCAGGTTAACATTGTGGTTTAGTAGTTGCACACATGCCCGTGCAACCTGCTGCGTCCCATGGTGCTAAAGTGAAGTAACGTATTTGCTTGCAAACCATCTGTACAGAACCAGAGGTGTAACCAACAGTCAGCATGTTGGAGAATGTCAGACACACCTAAAATATGCGAAGCATGCACAGTGTCGTTGGCATGATAATAAACATTAGAAGAGAGCAAAACACATCAAAATGACTGGCTAGTCTAATTCTAATGAAAAGCATTAGAGATGCAAAGTCTCTACAGGAGAGGCTAAAGAAAAATAATGCTTTCATTTTCTTAATCAGGCCAGGTTCATGAGGTGATGAGATGACAGTGGGGAAGAAAACAACCTGTCATCACTTGTCACAGAAATACAGGCCGGTAAAAGAAGCACAGCATACTTGTGATAGCATCACACACTGACAGATGTTTTATACAATACCTGACGCTTACATACCATTTTGCAAAATAAGGTTTGCCCGAGACAAAAGAACTCTTTGTCAAACCTGCCAAAACATCTTTACAAAAGGAGAAAAAAAAATAAACAAGGGCACAATGTAAAAGGGTGTTCCAAAACTGAGATGAAAGTCCTTAACAAAAGGAAAACAAAGTAGGCGTAGGTGACACTTTCCGTTATGGAAAAAGAACAGACATTACTTTGAGAAAAACAGCACTCCTTAGACTCGGAGTGTTCCCGTGCCTGGCTCTACTGGGTGTTAGGCCATCATAGCATTGAGGTGAACCTCTTTTTAAAGATGTTGTCAGCGAGAGGATTCTCGCCTCGTTTCCAAGAAAAGTTGCGGAAGCAAAGTGGTCTCAGGAAGCGAGCTACGATACATTTGATCTGTTCGTTAATGATCAGATGATGAGAAAAAAAAATTGAAGGCAGATGAAATGACTTGAATAAGTGGGAACATTAAACAGAGAAGAAGACAGCCACCTGACAGCAATTGCTAACTTGGTTGGTATTTTAAAATTGACTGGGATTTTTGCAGTGGGTGGAATTTTTTGATAACAGCTGAAGGTTACTGGAAGTGTTTTTGCTGTAGCAATGTAGCCATGGTAGGGAAGGGCTGATTAATCTGAGGCGAGAGCCTTCTCAGGCAGTGGTCTGTTAAGCAGGAGTGATGGCATTTTTCCACACATGGAAGAGCTTTGGATAATTTTATAGAGCGGTGTCACACCTTCCACCTAATTGATAGAAGCTCATACACAATTTACACATATAGATCTAAACTACTGGGAAAATTATAATAAACACATAGAGTCTAATCAGAAATGTACTTTTAATTAATTTCTGATTGACCTGAAATGCATCAATAAACAAATAGTGTGTTTGATTCACCAGAAGTGTCTTTGTCAAAGTGCCGTTTACTCCTTCAGGGTGGTTGAAACGTGTGTTTGTAGGCGGTCTTGGAGTCTGAGACAATCAGCTCCAGGTTATGGGTCAATAAATAATTCAGGTTTTCTTCTTGAATCTTGTCCAGAGTTGCTTTGTAATGCGGTTAGATTCCTGTTTTCTGGCAAGGGTTTGTGATCTTACCTAACAGTCTAGTACAGAGTACACAGCCTGTCTTTATTTTATTATTTCCCTTGGATTTACATGTTGGTGTTGGGTATGAGCTTCCGTGTTTGGTTATAAGGGAAGTATTTAAATTCTAATATTTGAAAATTAAGCCAGGTGGTCATTTGTCCTGATGGAGACGCCTGTATAAGTGAAAGAAACAGTTTCCACGGAGGGATTCAACCCATACAAGTGGCTTCTTCTTCTCTGACTGAAGTGACATTTCAGGGTGTGCTTGTCCGTGCTGGGGTGAAAGCTTAAATTAGACTGTGGACAGAGCAGTTCACTGTTTGGGCAGCCAAGAGAACTTTCATTTCTAAAAACATAATCATTGTCATCGCTGGTTAGAAATGCTTTCCAGTCCAAGCAAAAGGTCAAACGGAAACAGATGGACTTCAGAAAAGTTACAGAAAGCAAAGCATCACACCACAGGAGCAGAACAGTGCCTTATTCATGAACTTCATGGGAAATCAAAAACACGTTCGAAAGCATGCACAAAAACATTCAATGGTAGACAATTGACTTCAATAACATTACCAGTTTCTTCAACTGCTTTGGATATATTGCAATGATAAACAGTAACTTTCCTTCTGATTTCCCACCTGAGGCAAGTATCTAATTCTTCTGTCACTCCTGACTCACAGCAAATAGATAAACCAAGAATACCAAGAAGTATTTGTTGGATTTTGTCCAACTCTCTTCTCTGGCAGCAGTACTAACCCACCCATTCAAACAAAAACAAACAAATTGGTTATATTTAATAAAGACATAAATAACACTCTGCAGATCATCTGATTAACAGGGAGTGATTATCAGAACGCACATGCTCAGGTGTACTGGAAGCAAAAATAATATAGCTTAGTAGATAGCAAGTATTAAAAGGAGGATTTAATATGATCTTTCAGAGTTGCTTGACTTTCATTAAGCTGCGTGTGGTACACACCCAGGCACTTACCTCAGATCATTAACTGATTACACTCTCGTGAACCTTTGGTCCAAAGAAGCTGTTTGGCTAAATACAGTAATTAAAACTAACAGAATGAAATGAAAGCGAGAGGATGGAGAACCCGCTGTGAGTAATTGATTCAATGTTAATAAATTAAACACCTTTTCTACTCTTAGTGCGTTTTGTGTGTGTGTGTTTGCAGAACATTGAGTCCAGGCTCAAGGTGTTGCTTCCGGATGATGTTGGAGCAGCTCTAATGGACGGAGTTGTCCTTTGCCATTTAGCTAATCATATCTGTCCTCGGTCTGTTGCCAGCATCCATGTACCATCTCCTGCAGTGGTGAGAACACCCCATCTTCAAAATGAGTCTTTTTTTTTTAAATTGTTAATGCCAAGAGTTAGAAATTCTCATGAATTTATTGGTTATAAAATTTTTGTCTGCTTAGCTATGTGGATTTTGTTCCGCTGTGAGTTTAATTAACTAAAATGATTGATATTTGGGCTTCCAGCCAAAGCTTAGCATGGCCAAATGCCGGAGAAACGTGGAAAACTTCTTGGATGCCTGTAAGAAGCTGGGTGTCCCACAGGTACTAACATTAACCATTTAACACTTTCATTCAGGCATTTCATACACGCTTCACTTCAAACACCACTTAACCTGTATTTATTTTGCAATATATTCTGTGAAGATTTATTACCTTCCATGGTGATATCCACCGTTGGGCTCTGAAGCACAAGTTCCATACAGTTTCTGCAAGTTATATCATGCATACTCACTGGTCTGGTTTTTGCCTTTATCCTTGATCCTTCTCCAAATGAAGAATTGCTGTCATAAATAATGAAAGACAAATATATTCTATTTGTCTCTGGTCAAATCTGCCTGTCAGAAAAGCTTATAACAGTTAAATACTGTCTGAAAACCCCACCTTTCTTTTTTATTTTTCTCTGAGAAAAATTAACAAAAAGACATCTCTCTGTTGACTCAGGACAAGCTGTGTCTGCCACATCACATCCTAGAAGAACGTGGCCTAGTGAAAGTGGGTGTGACTGTGCAGGCTCTGCTGGATCTCCCCACTTCTAAGCCCACGCAGCTCTCGACTGTTTGACACGAGCCTCAGTTTTGCATCAGACCTGCACTCGTGCAGGATCACCTCTCTACCAAGCCCAAACCTTCTTCCTCATTGCCAGGGACCAGAGATCCCAGTGGGGCGAGGACACAGTGGCCCCATGGGTCTTTTGGAGTTGACTTTTGCCTGACTGAAACAGGAGACAAGATGTCTAAATGCTTCTGTCTCTTCATATGATGTCAGCTACCACTTACCTCTCTTCCATCACATTTTCACTCTTATGCTGTTCCTATTACTGGGGTCATCCTGGATGCGTGTTTTCTAAGGTGCTGAGCTAAAACTTGCAGAAGAGGCACACACGACGGTGAATCTAAGACATTAAAGGTTTGTGTGTCCTTCTTTCTAGTCACTGAGTCTGCGAGTGTCAGCACTGACCAAGTGGAAGTGAGGAAATGACAGACACATAACTCACTCTTTCACTGGAAAGGACTAGGCTGCCTGTACTGAGGGACCTTATTGGGTACTTACACTTGAGTTGCTCTTCTTACTTGTTAAATTTATTTTCTCAGTGAATTTTTTCTTGATTTTTGTTTTCATGGTTTTACACAGTCTTCATCAGGCATGCAAGGATGATATCCTGTTTTGAGCAGCTAAGCCTGATTCATCAATTGTTTTGTTTTTGTAATGCATTTAGACAGTGCTTTTTGAAAGCCGGTGTAATCTAGGAATGAATTTAATGTTGTTATCATGCAGACAGAGGACTTTCCGCCTGTTTTTCTGGTGCAGTTTCAACACCTTTCGACCATAAATCACATCTGCATGCACCAGGGGACTTGACATTTGACCACTGTGATAATACGAACTTGGCTTTTGCCAAAAGCATGATATCTTGTTTTGTACTGTAGCATTTTTTCACCGTGTTTTTTTTTTTTTTAAACTCTAGGCCATTCTCGATTTTACCTTTTCTGAAGCTTTTGATACTTTGCTTCCAGCTGTTTCCAGTTAATGCTTGCCAGTTATGTGAAATTAGCAGCACAGATCTGCTGTATTGTTTATATTCTATGTGAATATTGTTTGTGAACGGCTGACTGATGGGTGCCTGGATCCGAAAATGGTTCAGGGTGCCCTTACAAACTTCCCACGCACGGTATGGTCTTATTTTCCCACTAAGCCATCCTGTTTAGTGTGGTTTCTAATACACTTTATTTCAGGGAAATTCTATTATTTATCTATTTATTTACTTGTTTTAACTGTGTACATTTTTGATTTGTGTGTCTCTGTCCTCACTATCTGCCCACATGCAACTGAAGATGTTAATCTCATGTTTTCCAGCAAATGGAAAATGACTAAAAGCTTTTAACTTTGGCACTAATCTGTTCCATATGGTGGATCTGAGAGTTCAGTTCACTGCCACATGAGAAAACACACGACAAAAACAGACAAAACACAAACCAGAAATTGAAACCATAAACTAATCAAGAGATCTGAAGAATAATTTTCTTTATTTTTATATAAACACATTTTTTAACTTTATTTCTCAGACCATGATTTGCAGCCATGGCTAAAAAGAAGTTCATCATCTATCATTTCTATGGTTAGCAGGATCATACCAGGATGTAATTTTAAAAGTATAGTTCTTTTCAGGTCTAAAACTTAACCCTGGAGAACCCATGGGGTCAAATCTGACCCCATGGGTTCTCCAGGGTTAAATAACCCTAAGGACATATTAATACATGACATAATACAATGTTATTTAACAAAAAGGACGCCAGAGTGCAGAGGCACTTTGGAATTCTGGCCCACTCTTCTTTACACGCCACAGGATTTCAGTCAGGTTGAGGTCTGGGATTTCTGTTGTAGATTCACTTACTGTTGCATGACCCGGTTTTGGCCAAGCGGACAGGTGACCTCACATAATTGACTCTAGAGTACTTTGGTATACAAACAAAACAAGCCCAAGTCATCACTCCTCTTCCACCGTGCTTTTTAACAGTTTAAGGTATGATACATTTGAGTTAATCTTATCTTGTCGTATTTTCTTTTTGCCAAATGTGGTCCACTTTAGTCTCATCTGTTCAAAGGGCATCATTCAAGAAGTCTTGTGGGTTGCACACATGTAACTTTGCAAACCTAAGCTGTCCGCCATGGTCTTTTAAAAGCAGAGGGCTTCCTCTGGCAAGCCTTCTAAACAAACGTTATATGCGGCATAAAGTTGTTGTCACTTTGGTGATGTCTCCTTGGCATTGAACCAGTTCACACCTGAGTGCTCCAGACCAGAAAACTGTCAAAGCATCTGTTTTTATAGAGGAGCTTAGGAATAATAAGCAAGGACTTACTTCTGCTACAGTAAGGCTTACTTTTTGTTAAATAAATAATGATATGGTGTATCATGTTATCTGTTATTGTTCATCTCCAGATGTGCTTACCTCATTTTAAAACCTGCGATGGACCGATTTAATATATTTTGTCCTAATGTGCAAAACCTTAGTACAACACAGGGGTTGTACTGTCATTTTACAATGACTGTGTATACACTCTGTGTTTAAAACACAGTTTTAATTAAAACCTAAAGTGAGGTTAATGATTGGATTTGCATTAAATAGATTACTGGCAAAAGACTACACGATCTACTAAATATGGGCTAACGCGACATCCCTAACCACTTCATAGGGCCAGGATACCCAGCTCCCTAATCTGACAGAACAAACAAAGAGAAAACTTGGTTAATGATCGGTAACTGACTTCACTAACTTCGGGTTTCTTCACTCGCAGCCATTAGAAACAAAGTATGATGACCTAGTTCACACCATTCTCACACAATAACTTTCATGCAGCCAACAGCCACAGACTTCACTGAAGGCTAATTGCTTCTAAATTTGCATGCTGATATGACACCAGTTAAATTACTTCTGACAGAGAAGTCTTTGATAGCGCAGCTATGGCAGTCTCGTGTTTTAACAAGGTCTCTCTTTTTACCACAGAAACAAGTTGACAGGGTGGTTAGAGCAGAGTGATGTCTGGTGAATATGTGGCGGATCACAAACCTGTCCTTTTTTGGTGAGCCTTAGCTTTACTAGCTTAACGAGCCAAAGGCTAAAAACTAATGTGAAAAAACATTTGAGACTGGAGCAGAACATGTAGAACTACTGTGCCTCAGAGGAGGGATAGCTTTATTTATTTATTTGTTCACTTGTAGGTTAACTTCTCTGTACAGGATAATTTATGTTGTTGTTAACTTAAACTGCTTCTATGCCGATGAGCTGCATCTCCGATTGGCCATCTTACTTGTGGAGAATTTGCTCAGATGCAGTGGTCAAACTTCATGAAAGGAAGTATAGAGACTTGCACTTCTGGTTTGATTCCAGGATACGAGCGTGTGTGCCAAATTCTTGGTTTCCATGTTACTGCTTTTCACCTCACGTTAATAACCCCAGCGTCTGAATTTGAATGGTGTTCATGAGAACCTCTGCTTCCTCTGAATAGCCTGTATTTTCCCCCCTATTGATGCTATGGCGTCATGTTCCAGAGAACAGATATCACACAGATAAAAATTAAGCTTCCAGTTTATCAGACCTTGAGTGTAAAATATGCATAAACCATCACAGAATCTCAGGTCAAACATTTTACTTATGCAGATAACTTTGAGTCTTTATGAATGACTGTACTGTTGGTCACTGGGTGATGTTTCCTGGTGTGTCATTTGGAATGTGGTAGTTGTTCTTTTTCCTGCAGGGCTCTAGTTAACAAGCAAAGCAAGCAGCAGTCAGTGAGCTCTCTTTTAAAGTATCTACTGTATGCATTCACCAAATGTATTGCCGTGCAGAATCCTTTATTCTGAAACACAATCAAATGTAACAACTGAAAAAGAATACGTAAAATAATAATATTACACTGTGTTAGCCTGACAGGAGCTTTTTGGGTATATCTGATGGTAGCTTTCTAACTTCTTATCTTTAAACAATAAGAATAACTTGATACCTGAACTTACCTTACCTATAGATACTGTTACAAATATTAACAATGGTGCAGAACTTTAGCTAAGAATGTGTTGCCTCATCTCTGTCTTTTAAATTGCTGCACATATTCTGTTGTTTTAAATAATGCAGTTGCTCTCAGATTTGAGGTCCTTTGTGTGAAAAGTGAAAGGAAAAATAGAATTTTGTAAACAAACTAGAATACATTTTCATGATTTTGTCACTCGTGAAGACTGCCTGGGACTGGGACACATAGTGTGTTGAATATCTCACCGCATAGACAATGTTTTGTGGCTTTAATCATTATTATCCGGTTACTGATGTGGTTTCCATGGGATTCGACTGAGATCTTCAGATAATAGTGACTCATACAGGTGAAGGAATATAAACAGAGGATAATTTTCTCTCCTGTGGGGAAAAGAGGTTAAACCACGTGAGACAAGTAATACCCTCTGATAAGGCAGGAATATATGTGCATCTACAAGTCATAAAATATTCAGTAATAGCAAATTAAATTTTCACCACACCTTGTGGAAAAAACCGCTTTCATATAAATCCAGTTGGAAAAAAACACTCACACACCCTCAGAGTTCTTTGTCCTCAAGATTAGCACAAGGCAGGCCTTATCCCTTGTGTATTTTTCTTTTTCTAATATCCATAGTAACACATATTGTATTAACAGGTGTGTCTCATTTCCTAAGGGCTGCAATTCAAGTAAATAATACTTTGATATAAATCCAATTGGACACAAAACCTCAGTGGTGTTTTAAGTGGTACAGATTTAGGCTGAATTGAACTGGTGTTGGACTCTAACGATGCGTGTAACTTCTGTAAGTTGTTGTAGAAAGCAAGGGAGAGCAGCAGCTTGACCTCTGTTATCTCTTTCTGCAATATACTCATGTCATCACCGCACCGCTCGCGCCCCTGCAAAGACACGGCACATTACATTTTCATTCATCTTGTCATCGAAGTGTTTCTGCAAAGCATATTTACACCTCGGTATTTGCAAAAGAGATGTGATATTTTCTGACATTTGACGGAAGCTTAAACCCCCCCATCTGTACCCAGTGTATGGATTTTCATTTTGACTGAATTCAGTTTTGTGACATTGTATGTGTAGCGGTTGTTAGTAAATCTTTATTTAAAAGTCTCGAAAGTAAATCTGTGTGTTGTAATCTGCGCCCCTGTTTGTACTGCCCATGAAGTAATCCTTGTTCTGACAGTTTCTCAAGTTCAACCAAAGATAAGGCTTCGGTGGGCTAACAACATATGAGTTTTCTTGTGAAATTTCCACTTTATCGTTCAGTATCTTTTTGTTAGAGGAGTAAAGAATACAAAGAGGACACTGCAACATAAGATTAGAGAAAGAAGCGCACGATCCCTCTAGCCCTTTAGCTTGGCCCTACCTTAAGGACTCTAATCTTCAATACTTTAGCAGGGATTTCTTCAGGGCAAGCATGGACTGGACGAAATAAATGTAGGGACTGATTCCTCTTGACATATATGAATAGTGTTCAGAGGCAGGTGTTAAGAAAGGTGAACGTGATCTTTTTTGCACTGTTTGGAAGTGTGAAAATGTCTCTTTCTGTAACTATTGCTTGATGAATGTCTCTCATCATTAGTGAACATTGTGTTGCCTCAGCAACTGATCCATCCGCTGTTTTTTTTTTTTTTTTTTTTAATGTTTGTTATTAGGCCTGGGGGCAGGTTTATGTGTTTCTATAGAACGGCAATGTACAGGATGTTTTGGAATAATGGGAAAGTCTGCTGCATACTTACTGAACAGCCTGCAATATGTAGAATTCATATGCATACACGAAAAGACAGTGGTGCTGATTTTTATTTTGTAATTTTGTATGTGATAAATCCATTGCCGTGCCTAAGTATCTGTTATTGGTTTATATGGTTACGCTCGCCATGATTTAACGTCTCACAAGTGTCGTCTCGTTAGGAGAAAACAGTGAAATAGTGAGTTATGTCTAAATGCTACACTGCCGAGAGAATACACAATTCATGTACATAATCTGTTTTTTTTTGTATTTAAAACTGGTCTGACGCATGCAAGACTACAAAATCACTGAAGCTAAACCTGTGTACATATCATCTGTGTAAATTCTAAGGTTTTCTTATAGCGAACATGCTGAATCTAAAAATAAAGTGAAATTCTTTGGAGCTCAGTCTGTGCTGTCTTCATTGCTTCCCTTTCATTCACTCACCAGTAGAGCACATGTACACTCTCAAGTAATGTTATCTGGGTCAGATTGCATCAGCAGTAATTAATTTCAATTATAGAACCGGTTTCTTCAGATTTGTTGCCCAAGTCTTTTTGACGTGATTTAACCAAACCTTGATAAAGCTTATTGTTAGGGCTGGATCAGGTGTGTCACTATAAGTTCTGGCTGCTGTGGGACTTGATGTGATGAACTGAGTGACTCTTCTCCACACGCTCTTATCACTCCGCACGTGTTTACAAGTGGAGCATGTGATTAAATTATTTTCTTCTTCCTGCCTTAGCCTGTGTTTTCTCTCTCTCTGCTATCGTTGTATCAGTCTATCTTTTATATCATCTTCTGTTCTCTTTCCTCTCACACACAATCAGTCACACCAGATGCCTTTTAAAAGGATTTTTCATCCTTGTTTGTTCATAAGGGTGTCTACTAATTAT